GTACATATTGATTTGGTTTGGTTTGTTTTACGGCATATCAAAGTCAATGGGTTATTTAATGCCGACAAGTTTTTTTATTGCTGGTAATATATTTTTTTTCAAATGTACTGCTGGTAATTTTTTTTCCTTCAAAAACCTATTTCTACTAATATTTTTTCTTCAAAAATGTATCGTTTGTAATTTCTTATTTCAAAAAAAATATAGCTGGTAATATCTTTTTTTCAGAAATGTATTGCTGGTAAAGGTTTTTTACAGAGTATTTCTGGTATTAAAACCTATTTTTACATTTTTATAGTGTTTTGACCCCAGTTTGGTGTTTAACTATTTGCCCATAGCTGGGCACCTAACAGGTGCTACCACCCCGGTTCAGGGTGGACCTTGGAACACCATCAATTAAGTGGTGGTTCCACGCTTCTCAAAACGTCCTGATCATAGGCCTTGCTGTCGGATGTAGTTTATCGTCTTACCCAGGACACGGACGTAGTTTATCGCCTTACCCAGAATGCGGACGTATTTTATCGTCATACCCAGGACGGTATAAGATAAAAGGAAACGATTACTATAAAAATGAAGTGCATACAGACTGACACTTATAAAAAAAAGCAACGATAAGAAGATAGATTGCTCAACTCCACGAGAGAACCTCTTTGCTACTGCTTGATCTCACACTGTCCGCTGACCTGAGATGGAACAATTACATTGAATCAATTGCTTCATCCATCGCAAGGAAGAGTTGGTTCCCTGTGTCGCGCCAAAAATGTTTTTCTCGCCCGAGCCCATCCTTCAAATCTATAAATCAACCATTCGCCGTTGCATGGAATACTGCTGCTATATATGGTCTGGGCCCCCGCGCTGTTCGCCTTAATGTCCTCGACAAAAAACAGAGACGAATATGCAATGTGGTTGGTCCTGATCTGGCATCTCGTCTACAGTCGCTCTCTCACAGACGTGCCGTCGCCTCCCTCTTTCGTTTCTGCAAATACTTTCAGGGTAACTGCTCCGACGAGCTACTTTCGCTAAGTCCAAGACTGCATGAATTTAAACGTGCTACTAGGGTGGCTTCTCGGTCCCACACTTTCACTGACGAAACGGTTAAATGTGGCCGTCTCTTCTACTCCAAGAGCTTTATGTCTCGCACATCCCGTCTGTGGAAGTCACTTCCTATTACTTGTTTCCCTGCTATCTATAATCTCCAACTATTCAAATGGAATGTCAATCGACATCTCCAGATAACCTGACCTTTTCTATGTCCTTTTATTCATCCTTGACTCCATCTCGCCTCTTTACTCTCGCTCCCACTCTGTAACCCCTTGCGTACTAGTGGCATCCCGCCTTGCATGGGGGGAAATGCTTAAAAAAAAAGCAAACAAAATAAAATATTTAAAAAATGTTAATAATCAGGGGTGCATTGACACAGAATATTGGGATATAAAATCAATAATAAAAAACGGGACAAATGTGGTAATAAAAAAAAATGTATTGTCCCTATGTGTTGTAAGAAAAGCAAAATTATTATTATTATTATTATTTTCTTTGATTTCTGGCGTTTACACATTTCTTTCCGGGTCCCGCCCAGGGACCTAAGGTTAGAAATGGCATCATGACACTTTCCACTGACAAAAAAAAAATTACATAGATAAAGCCCTTCGTAAAGTGTTGGCTGTACTTGTCAGAACAATTTTTGTATCTCTTTGAGGCATGGACTTCCAGGAATCCCTTCAATTAGTCTACTACAATCTTTTCCAACCAATCCTAGGGCTCCAACTACAACAGGGATTGTTGATGTTCCCATATGCCACATTTTTTAGATTTCTATTTCAAGGTCCTTGTATATTTGACAGCTTTTTGAATATCTTCAAAGATACATTGCAGTCAACAGGGTCTGCCATATCAATAAGGAGGCACTTTTTTTTGTTTGTTTTCTTTAATAACAATATCTGGGCGGTTGGCTTTGGTTGTTCTGTCAGTGTGTATTGTGTAGTCCCATAGAATTGTAACAGGTCCTATCTGCGTAACCTGGTCTGGGTGAAAGGACGTTTTTAATGTAGTCATACATATTTATAAGTCTTCCATTTGTCCATCCTTCGAATATTGCTACTACATCTGATCTTGTTCTCCTGCTATATATCTAGAGATTCTTAATAAAATCAAAATAAGAATCTGCAATATTTTTTGTCTTGACCTGGCATATCGGCTTTAATCACTTTCCCGTCGCCGTAACATAGCCCCTGTGACTTTTCTATAAATACTTTCATGGTAACTGTACGGATGAACTTTTCTTTATGGTACCCAGATATTATGACTTTCTCAGTACTTGATTGGCGGAAAGGTCTCATCCTTTTTACAGTTCAAACGGCCAGATGTAAACGTAAGCTCTATGCCAAAAGTTCCCTCCCTTACACTTCTCGCCTATAGAACTCTTTTCAGACATCTTGCTTCCCAGTTCATTTAGACTTTCAAAAAATTATTAGTCGTTCAATCGTCATCTTCCGCTTCCTTAATTCTTGTTCTTTTATTGTTCCTTTTCGTTAGTAGTGTTTTTGACTCAAATTCTATAAAACTTTGCGTCTTAGTGGCTTTATTGCCTTGCTTGGATCGATATAATAAAACTAATAAAAATATAACAATAATGTACAATGTATCGACCGAGGGTATTGTGATGAAAAACAACAGTATTTTTTTTTTAAATAATGGTCAACCTGAGCCACTCCAGAGAGACAATTAGAGCCTTAGAGCCAATGATTATGGAGATATATGAGGAAGATAAGGGTGGATCTTAGGCTTGAACAATTTAAGAATGTAGTGATCAGGGAAGAATCCTCTTGGGAATTGGTTCAAACAAAGCATCCATTCATGGGAAGAAGCTGCTTTGGAATATAAAAGGAAAGAGCGTAATTCGCTAGAATTCGGAATGAGGCTCGCCTGAACTACTTCCTGTGGAAATGGCAACAGAGCTGCGAGATAAAACGTAAGAGAGGTAGCAATACAATAATCATAGTGTTGAAACTTCCATGGACACAGTCTGTTAATGTCAAACAGAATTGAATGAGAATAAACCATTCGTAGCATTGATAATAAAATGATGTAAAACTAGTAATAAAATTAGTAATAAAACTAATAATAACATTAGTAATAAAACTAGTAATACAATGAAAAGAACAATGGCGAATATATCAAAACAGATACACACCCTTGAAACAAAATTATTGAAACGTTATTATTTACTTTTGTTCCTATTTGTCCAATGAAACATGACCAGTGCACATGTCAGTATTTTGCACAGTCATTCAACGAAGTCGTTCCTTGCAGATTGACCACAGATTCTCGATTGGATTTAAATCAGAAGAGTTTCCAAACCAGTCGATAGTAGTTTGATTTACTCATGGCTAATGCTTGTTGTGTTCGTTCAGAGTTACAATTTTTGTACGCTGCCTTGGAGTAACGTCCGTCGCAGACAATGGCAGTAGGGCAACTAATCGACAGTCCAGACAATAGTGTCTGGGCGTGATAAAAATCTGATGCAATCACGGATGACGCAATATTTTTCAAGACCACACAAATTTCATTATACACCCTGAAAATGGATTCATATTACTGCACACCACTGCAAATGACCTAATCTGAGGAAAAAATAGAAATCGATTACACCCTGTCAGTCCAGTGGGTCTAAAACTGACCGTATGGTTAAAGAAAGGAAACTAAAGCGGTTGTTTCAATTAATTTGCACAAGGGTTTATATAATGCTTTTGTAAATACCTTATGAATACATTACAGAAAATATACACGAAAATAGATTCATATTACTGCACACCACTGCAAATGACCTAATCTGAAGAAAAATAGGAATCGATTACACCCTGTCACTCGAGTGGGTCTAAAACTGACCGTATGGTGAAAGAAAAAAAAACAAACAAACAATAAATCGATTGTTTCAATTAATTTGCATAAGGGTGTAGTTATTAAGGTCATATTCCTAACTTGAGAAGTTGAAGTTGAACCTTATCAAGCACTGCCCGTCTGTGAACCAGTGACAAAGAAGATCAAGACAAGACGCATCTTTCCACATTCAGTCGAAGCACCGAACAACAGATCTCCTAGTCCGCGTTTGTCCGTGTGGTGTGGGGTTAGGGTTCGAGTTAAGGTTAGGGTTAGGTTTAGGGTTAAGGTTAGGGTTAACAACATGGAACACATTCTCTCTCTTTTTCTCTCTCAGCCCTATACAATCTTTGCCGTTGACTTCGAAAAATCCCTCATACTGTTTTAGAAAGTGCCATCTTTGTTTATTCTTAACTATTGTGCATTGTTTCCAGAAAAAAATATATAAATGTGTAACTACATTTCCCTCCTTGTAAAATCTAAAGTATCAAAACTTGTAATATTTAATGGGATTTCAATTTAAAAGAAAATAAATAATATATACATCATCTATTTCGGAACATAAATGATGTCCCGGAGATAAAAAGAAAGATCCGGCCAAATACAAAGACGTGATGTTGCCAGAAGTATTTCGTAGATAATGATTTCCGAATTCTGTCTCTTGTGATCTTCCGTAGCAAGTAATGACGAAATGCTCGACATTCATATATTTCTCAATAATATAGAATATGTCGTCTTTTAAATCTTTTATTTTTTTTATTATTATTATCGTGGAATGCTAATAGCCAGGAAAGTAAAATGCTTCGGGCAAAATCAAAGACAGACGGAGAAGAGAAATTAGAGAAACAGGGGATAATGTAACATTGTACATATATATATATATTTTTTTTTCTTTTTCTTTTTTGTTTGTTAAAGAAGTCTGTTTATATTTTTAAATGGAGTTTATTTATTTAAATAGTTCATTAAAACGTAGTTTGTTATTTCGAAGGGAAGAACAAAATGATGAAAGGCGACCGGGTTAAAAAAAAACACACACACACACACACACACACACACACACACACACACACACACACACACACACACACACACACACACACACGTCTGTCTGTCTGATTTGTTCA